CCCACAATAAAATTGGCACTTTCTCTTTTGGGTTACATGTGAGGCTCGCTTGAAAAAGGTCGATTTAACATGGGACCCCTATGTGGTGGTAGTTTTTGATCGCCCATTTGGCCTTATGCTACCAACTGTTACTGGCTACCCCTGATAACCACCCACCACTTCATGCCGGCCCCCGGTCAACAGACATGGTAGCCCAAATCTAGTCGGATATGAAAATTCTTCTAAATCCATAGATAGATACGTTTCTTCGGCTACTAGTCGTTTATTGCTTTCGTTTCGAATTTTCGACCTTCGCATCGAGGTCGTTGTCAAGAAACATATAACAACGACCTCGTTTCGAAACGGTCGTTTCTTGACAACGACCTCGATGCGAAGGTCGAAAATTCGAAACGAAAACAATAAACGACTAGTAGCCGAAAAAACGTACAGTCCACAGCAGAAATAATGTGGGGTTTCAGTCATTGGTATGTTCTGCTTCGGAAGCTTAGGAACGATTAGCCAGACTACAATGAAACTTTGAATGTAGCTTATATGTATCGTCACCCTTGCAGCTGCAACTTTAGCTATTGACATCTTCTTTTCGATCACTCCGCATTAAACAATCGCCAGTCAAAGCCAACCGTTGAGATTGGTAAAACCCTACATTACTTAAGCGGTGGGCTGTACCTACCTTGAATTAAGATGTCTAGTCGTAAAAGCTTAAAATCATAAATCCATAGACTTTAATGCTAAATTGGCTATATTTGAGAGGGCTTAATGAAGATACATGACCAGATACATAAAAAAGTGAGATGCTATCTTGTAGATTAAATCGTCTACTATCTGCGACTTTTGAAGTGTTTTTCAATCTGAGGTACAGAAATCGTGTTCCCAAGAGACTGAAAGTAACCATGCTTTACATTAGACCCAATGGCAAAAATTCGGAATCTGACGAAATTGGCCATTTTTACGTCTGATTTATGATTATTCTTAACAGGATATATAAAAAACCCGAGATGCTATCAGGTGGGAAATTTCATTGTCTATTATCGCTTTATGAAGTCTTTTTCGATCTGAGAACGGCAAATCGTGTTCTCAAGAGACTGAGAGCAACCTTGCTCTACAGCAAGACAATGGCAGAATTCTAATGTTTTATGGAAGATATCTTAGGTGATAATAACCTTACTACTAATTGCAATGCTTCATTGGAAAGCTCAACACTAGCACTATCATCGGTCTTGCATTGCTATTTCACAGAACAACAAGAAATAACGCTTTGAAGCCTTTGAATATTGACTTACTTTTCATCAACGGGCTCGATCCCCATGACCACCAATAATTTTCCGGGAAGTCAGGATTTTGCAGATATTTAAGCAGAATTGCAGAGCTGTGTTAAAACTACGGCACTTAAATACACATTTTAACCCGGCGGCCGCTGGGCCTCCGCGCCAACCGTCGGCAGCTGGGGGGGGGGCATGTAGCTGCCCCCCTTTACTTCTGCGACGATATCGTCGCACCGCGAAGAGATAGAGAAGCGAAACTTTGCACACATCTTTCTGAATACCTAGCCGAGGTTGTGTCCAAATTTGGTGTCGATCCCATTTGAAATGACGTCACAGTGACGTCATAAGTTAAATTATAGCTTTGCGACTCTCATATTCCTCACGATACATCAGATATATGGGACCGAATATAAAGGGTCGATTATTGGTCAGAAACTAGATGGAAGTGTAGTTAGATGTTTTAGGATGACACCAGGTGCTGTCTTGTTGATTTACAGTTGAGTTTCATGCTCAGCGTCATTAGAAACGGTCCATATCGGATCGGAAAACGACAAAACTTTATGACGTCACTGTGACGTCATCTTAGAGGTGCTACAACCACCAAACTTTCTTCAAACATTGCCTAGGTATTCATTTGAAGCTATGCCAAGTTTGACGTTCGTAGCTCATCAGGTTTCGGAGATATTTCACAAAACGTAAAGGGGGGGGGGGACTTTATGCCGCCCCCCCGCGGCTCGTGGGTTAACACGCGCAGTGGAAGGGGGGGGGGGCGGATTTCGCCCACCCCTCCTGTTTTTCGCCAATAACTCGCGCCGCAAGCATAATATCAATGTGAAATTTCGGCTACCTGTCCAGAATTTAATTGCGGATCTTCTCGTGCAAGAAGTAAGAAAATCGGTTCACAACTTTTCTAGTAATAGCGGTGTAAAGTCAAACATCCTGCCGCCGCGGCGGCGCGGCGGCACGGCGGCCGGCGCTAGCCGTTACGCGCCGCCTGAATTGTAGGCTGTGCCGGGGCGGGACGGTTCCTTCTTTACATCGCGCTCCTTACCGCTGATTATATTAGATTCGCGTCAAATTCGGTGAGAAGACTGAGAAATGTACAGGCAATCATATGGTCAAAGAATTTTGAAAATCGGCCGGTAACAACTTGAGTTATGAGTGTGTAAACACAAAACTGTGATTGCCGCGTTTCCCGCGTCGGCCGATGCCGCTTCAGCCGGCGACATCTTACCCTTAGCAGGCTTCTAACTGCCATATTTATTGTTGGATTATCTAGAAATTCACCATACATACTCACAAATGTTTGCTCTTTCGTATAGTGAAGGATTTAAAAAAATCGACCGGTAACTTTTTGAGTTATCGGCGTGTAAACGAAAAAAAGTCGCTAATATGGCAGATTTGACCACATTTGACCTCATTTGACCTTGAAGATATTGACCTAGGGTCATGAAATTCACACACAACAGAGTTCCCCATGGCCCCCACCTACCCTCCAAATTTCGTCTTTCTAGCTCCAGTGGGAGCTGAGATTTTAGGGGGGGCGACATCCGCCCCCCCCCCTTCCACTGGGCGTAGTACTCGCAACCCTTCCACTGCGCGTGTTAAGACCCTGTTAGCGCGAATGTATGTATTTCAATGGACATTTATCCCGCCTGGGGGTCAATCTTTCATTTGGTCACCGGTACTACTGGAGGGAGATTTTCGGGGGCAACGCAACCCAAAATAGGAGTGTGTAAGACATGAAAGGGATATAATGAATGGAGATGGACGAATCTTAGGTTAACCCGCACCGGGCCGGGGGGAGGGGGTGTCTGAACACCCCTCCTCCTGGGCCATCTAGCGACACGCGGTAAGCGGCATTCGAAAGAGCGTCAAAAATAATGACGGAAACACTTCAGTCATTTTTTTGGGTCAGGTCAAAGGTCAGGTCGCCAGAGGTCATCAAAGGTCAAATTTAGTCCATTTCAACAATTTTGGAAACTGCCAACGGCCAACTCGGGAACCAATAGAGCTACAGCGCCGCAGAAAAGCGCATTCGATAGCCCTTTTACAGACCTTTCTGAGTAATGTTCTCAGCTTTGACCTCAGGTCAAGGGTTTAGCCTCCAGAGGTCAAAAACTGCAAAAATAGCAGTTTTCACGAAAATGGTTTTTGGTCAATAACTTTTGACTCAAGACAGCCACGACATTACTTTTGGCAGAATCGTGTTCCTCTCGTCGAGACGCGTCGAATGAACTACTTGTTGACCTTGAAAGGTCATTTTGAAAATTTGACCTCAGGTCCAGGTCATGGCCTGACCGGAAAGGGTCATTTTGCATATCAGTCGATCCGTATCGTCGAGCTGAATACATCTGACGTGTTTTCATCGCCCTAGCACGTCTTTATCAAAAGTAACAGCCAAAAACTGCTGGTGACCGTTCATGACCTGAGATCAACTCAGGGGCACCCAGGGGGTCACAGGTGCATTTTTCCGATTCAGTGTGTCATGGTTACCTATGAATTGATGTTTGAGAGGGGTTTGAACATCATTCGTCCGAAAGAGGCGCATTTCAATTTTCTCCTATTGACTTAAAATGGAGAGAGAGGTCGCAAAATTGACCTGACCTTGGGTCACCGAATCGATATCAAAATTCCGAGATATAAATTTTGTACATACTGTTACTCTTATCAATCGCTGAAAGTTTCAATGCTGTAGTTTTAATGCGGTGAAAACCCTTACCCTCGCCAGTCGCCACAGCTCGGGCCGAGTGCATCCCTCCTCCCACCCAGCGCAACCCACACTCGAGTTGTAACGAGGGTGAGGGTATTCACCGTATCCGAACTTCAGGTCGCCTGGCTGAACCAATCTTGCCTGGTCCAGGTCGCCTGGCATCTTGAGACCAGGCCCATGTCACTCCACTTTTGATGACATCATAAGGGGGCCTCAGGACAATGAATGGCGCGGTGCGCCACAATCGCTCCCAAGCTACTTGCCAACAGCTGCCATTTTTGGAAATATTATTTTGAAATAAAGTTTCAAATAATGAAAATATTGTAATAAAGTTGTAGCTTAAATCTATATCATATCTAAAAACTTACTGAAATATGATTTATTCATAGTAAAAATATAAGCTCGATGCGTTTTTACGTTGCTTTCCTGCTGCTGCAGAGGGTTTCTAAATCGTCTATATCTTCAAAACCGGCCATTTCTTAGCATATTGCTGCTCTTTTTTGTCGCTGTAAAATTAGTTGGGCTTTCCATTGACATCAACGGTTGAGCGGTATGTGTAGAGTGTCATCAATAATCTTCAAATGAAGTTAGTCATTTTTACGTTGCAAAGGAATGGAGTACCCCTTGCGAGCATCAGGGGTGACGTCACTCAGGATCTGTCTCTGATTGGTCGGCGGGGGTGTGCCTATACCTTCTATAGATGGCCTTGCTTGAGACCAATAGTACCACTCAAGCTATCACGCATGTCCAATATTTTGTCGCCCGCAACACACTCATCCAGTGTTCCCCCCCGGGCCGATCGGCAGCTGACCACTGGGAGCTCACTCTCAGATCGTCCCTGGCCGTGCGGCGCGGATGGCACCGAGAACCGGCCCCGGCCGCTTAGACACCTCGGCCAATTTGGCACGAAAAGCAATAGAAGCTGGTGTGCAAGTGAGCAGGCGCTGGGTCAGTGCTGCGGTGCGAAAGTCAGCCATCGACACATTCGAGGTCAGCCATCGACACATTCGACAGCTATCACTCACCATGGACAGCAGTCCCGCTCCGTCGTGGCGCATTTTGAAGTTTTCGTCTGCGAACGCCGACCCGCCATAGATGCTGCAAACTCCTGAACCGTCGCCCTGCAAAATAGGCGAGCGGGCACTGCCTCAGCACAACAAGTCAAAACTCAGCTCGGACACTTGCTAAGCACAGCAGGGTCCAGTTCATATTGAAAACCCTGCTCACAGAGAGGAAAAATGACACCCTTTTCTGGATTTTCGGTCACGTCAAAAACGCGACCATGGGGGGTCAAAATAACACCCAATATGGGCGTCCTGACGCTGAAATATTGAGTCCTGGCACCTAAAACGGGTTTAACCCTCTCCCGCACATGGGGGGGGGGCGGTCGCCATCCCCAGGTAGTTTTTCGGTCGGAGAGGCCATCATAACCAAGCGTTTTCATTGTAGTTAATTCAATCTGATTAGTGTCATGCCATCTTACAAAACACTTACTCTTCACATTTACACCAAGTTTCCTGCAAAATCTTACCTTGAAACACTAGAAAAATCGATACAAAAACGACTCCCTCAAATGCTCCCTCAGAGCATACGAACCCGCGCCATTACGATCTACTTTCAAGTGGTCGGCCTCCGCCATGTGGACAATTGCTGCGCAGCAAATAAAAAACACAGCAAAATGGGGCAATGAGTGGTAGCCACGAAATTTAAAAGATATGTATAGATTAAAATACTTTGACATTTGGTGTTGTTTTTTTTGTGGTTTAACACACATCGTTTTTAAATGACTTGTATATTAGGGCATCGTATTAGCTAAAATAATGTCCCTAATGTTAAATTTTTAGCTGATTGTTTTGCAGCAGACAATGTTGTCAAATTAAAGCAAATTTAACACGCGCAGTGGAAGGGGGGGGGGCGGATTTCGCCCACCCCTCCTGTTTTTCGCCAATAACTCGCGCCGCAAGGATAATATCAATGTGAAATTTCGGCTACCTGTCCAGAATTGAATTGCGGATCTTCTCGTGCAAAAAGTAAGAAAATCGGTTCACAACTTTTCTAGTAATAGCGGTGTAAAGTCAAACATCCTGCCGCCGCGGCGGCGCGGCGGCCGGCGCTAGCCGTTACGCGCCGCCTGAATTGTAGACTGTGCCGGGGCGGGACGGTTCCGTCTTTACATCGCGCTCCTTACCGCTGATTATATTAGATTCGCGTCAAATTCGGTGAGAAGACTGATAAATGTACAGGCAATCATATAGTCAAAGAATTTTGAAAATCAGCCGGTAACAACTTGAGTTATGAGTGTGTAAACACAAAATTGTGATTGCCGCGTTTCCCGCGTCGGCCGATGCCGCTTCAGCCGGCGACATCTTACCCTTAGCAGGCTTCTAACTGCCATATTTATTGTTGGGTTATCTAGAAATTCACCATACATACTCACAAATGTTTGTTCTTTCGTATAGTGAAAGATTTAAAAAAATTGACCGGTAAGTTTTTGAGTTATCGGCGTGTAAACGCAAAAAAGTCGCTAATATGGCAGATTTGACCACATTTGACCTCATTTGACCTTGAAGATATTGACCTAGGGTCATGAAATTCACACACAACAGAGTTCCCCGTGGCCCCCACCTACCCTCCAAATTTCGTCTTTCTAGCTCCAGTGGGAGCTGAGATCTTAGGGGGGGGGGCGACATCCGCCCCCCCCTTCCACTGGGCGTAGTACTCGCAAACCTTCCACTGCGCGTGTTAAGCGATAAAAAATAGTTGGTTGTCAAGTTCAATGCAGTTCTACAGTACTTAACCTAACCAAATCTTACCTAACCTACTGATTTTTGCCTCCCGGGCATATAGAAATCTAATCTAACCTAACCTAACCTATCCTAACCTGATTTTTGCCTACCGAGCGAAACCTAACCTAACCTACTTATTTTTGCCTACCAGGCATAAAGAAACCTAACCTAACCTAACCTAACCTAACCTACTGATTTTTGCCTACCGGGCATAAATAAACCTAACCTAACTGTAGATGCCGTTTCTATGTCGGCGGCGTTATTCGTGACTGGCACGAGCTACACGAAATAAATTTTTGCTGAAGTAGAAAAGTAGGACGGAAATAATTTGGAACAAGTAAAATAGGTTTAGAACAAGGGTTTTGAAAATAAGTATCGAAACCGTAAGGCAAGGAAGGAAGAAGTTAAGTGCTATTTAAGTTTAATTGGTGTAGAAGAAGATAAGCCTTTCATGTAGCCGCGGACCAAAAATCGCTTTTGACGGTGGTTGTGGTTGAGATTGTGTGCGTGAGAGAAGACGAACCTGTAGGAAAGACGGTGATAAGAACCGGTGTGAAGTGTGCTATTTTGTGCCTGAGTTTATATTTTATTTTAATATCGAAATATTACGACATCCTGATCAACTTTAGTTTGAAATAAATCAGTAAAATCACTCAGCTCAAGCCACCCGTAAAGCATTATCCAGCGCCTACATTTAGTCAAAAGCGGTTTTTGCGTTTATGATTCTTACACTTAGTCAAAGCGCTTACTGACCTTTAAGATATGAAGTTTGTTTAACGTAAGAATCATTTAACGTAACCAACGCAAGTGTAAGTCAAAGTACATAAGAAGATGGGAGCTGACTCTCCAAACGACCTGCCGTTACGTACAGTATATCTAAAAAGTATGTCCCCTGGTTTGGCTCTCCCACAGGAGGCGAATCGGTAACTTGGCTGAATCCCAGTTGCGGCACCCGGCCGCCAGGGTCGCTGCCGCGCGAGCGGCCTTGACCGCTCGCATGTCATTGGCAGTTCGGTCCCTCCCCTTCTATACCGAGGTGGGGAGGGGAGAAGAGGGGAAGAGAGGGGAGGGAGCGGCATCCGCTCGGCACTGGGCGATACCTGGCTGACCCCGCGCTCCCTCGCTGACCTTTGTCCTGCCCTCAGGCGAAGACCGACTTCCTGGCCTGTAGCGGCCCAGCGGAAAACTGAGCTCGCGGGGCGCGACTCCATTGCACAGTGTGGCCGAACACCAGTTTAGCGCGAATTTAATCCCAGCGCCACTCGGATCCACTGAAAATGGTTCTCTGGTTCCAAAACTGACATTTACCCCTCGCCGCACCTATTGGTTTTCAAAATACGCGCCGGCCGAAGGGGGGGGGGGGTACGACCCCCGTCGCTGTTTCGCCCCTGATGAAGCTAGAGCCTCGCGGAAAAAAACGAGCGTGTGTGCCGTTACGAGACGCAGCAACTGGTATCCGATTTTGAGGTCTCAGGTTAACCTGTGACCTCTGAGTTCAGGTCAAGTGGTCCAAGGCACGGATTCGTTTTTTTATTAATAACTTCGCGAAAAAATGCCGCAGAGCCGCAATTTTGGCATCATCGTGTTCGCCTCGCTCAGGTGCGTCGAATGGTATACTTTTTGTTCAGCTGAAGTCAACTTAAGGTGTTGACATCGGGTCATGGTCAGGTTAGAGCCCCCCAGATCACGAAGTTGGTCGAAGGAGGTCATGTTGCATATCATTCGATTCGGCAGGTCTTCCTGAGTCCATTGGTGGCTTTCCCGACTCGCTAGCTCAATTTGATCGGGAGTTATTGACGAAAAACTCTTATTACCCTAGTGGCGTCATAAATGACGTCACGTAAGGCCAATAATGCAAAAGTGAAGCATCGGACCTTGCAAGGAGTGCATGAAATCACGATTCCGTGTGCTTGAGATAGTTAATTAGGCTGGAGCCTGTTCGGCCGCGCCGCCCCCGACCTTGGTCAGGTCACGCCGGGCGGCCAACTAGACATGTTCAAAGCTGAATTGACGGCAAATAGGCAAAAAGTGGCAGCTTAAACTTGCTCGCTTATGTTCAGAAATGTGCGGAGAGTTCAGCCATGCCCTATTCGTCATATCCATTTTTATCCATTTTGACATTTTCCAACTTCTTTATGAAATACCATTGCTAGTGCGCCTGTGAGCCGCGCGCCTGTGTGCGCGTGACGGAGGAGTCATGCGTCTGCAGCGACACCTGCGCCTTACGGTCTGCGCGGTGCGGTGGAGTTTCCTAGACAGCCGCGAGATGGAGCAGCCTGCCCCTTCCTGAGCCGTTCCCGTCCCCCCCACGCTGGCTTCGCGCGGTAGCTTTATTGGCCGTGTCTCAGACGGCGCGAACAGCTGATTGATACCTACTTTTGCCCATCTCTGTCGCGGGCGGTACTTGTTCGTTGCGTACGATATATGTGTTATCCTTTTGTGTTGTGTTACGCGGGATAAGTTTATACGGGGATTTTTCTGTTATTCCGTATGCTATTTGTTAACGGATGAGTATGGCATGCTCATGTGTTAATGTTTATGTCCGCGTCTCTGCAGTACTTGCGGGTTCCCGTGACTGGCGGGCTCTAAGTCAGCCGCCATACTCGGTCTTTTCATGGTGTACTCCGTCGAGAATGGAGGCATGGCGCCTGAGTGGACGAAATCGTTGGTAAGAACTGAACATTATGATTTATTGCTTTATTGCTTTTAGATTATCGCGCTCTTGAATTTGTTCTATTTTTCCGTATCATTTATTTAATGTTTTTGCCTTTGCAGAAACCGCTAGATGCATCGTTGTTATACCGTGCCTACCTGCGCTAGTGCCAGTTTGAGTTGCCACGCTGCTTCATATGCTGCACCTACGCATCGGTATTCGCTAGTCGACCGCATCGTGACGAATACAAGCAACGCTCTGGCTACGGTGTTCTGCGCGTAACAACGCTCGTCAATCTACGGCTCAGGCGACAATAACTATCGTGAGAACGATACACATGCAGGGCTCCTGTTCTAACTCATTAAACTCAGAACCCATTCATTGAAAAGCTACCGTGATAGCAGAAACAGCTTCATCATGAATTGTGCTATCCGGCGATATGCTATTTTCTCATATATCTTCTCGAAGCTTCCGTAAAATTTACATTGAAAACTGGACATATTTCTCAGTACCATAGCCCGATTTCAGGAACCGGAGCGTGGGTCTACTTTCGGCAGGGATATAAGTCCTCAAATGATAAATTGGCTTAAAAATAAGGTTCTATCCGATAACCTCGGACAATTTCCTACCCATTGATGGGTATAAATAGTAGTTTATCGAAAGTCGGGTTTTTGATTAAATTCGCGCTAAACTGGTATTCGGCAAGTCCG